TGGAAGGCCGACAGGTCCTGCGGCAGCACCGGGGCAAAGGAGTGATACGTGCTGCCACGAAGGGTTCGGTGGAGCCAGCAACGGGAGTGCTGTGGGAGCCACCAGCAGCGGGGGGGAGAGGTCCCTGACCCCCTGGAATTTATTTGTCTGACCCAGGGATAAAACTTAAAAGTCAAAAAACCCAAATGTGCACTAAAGAGTTGTCCCATCCCAGTATATGTGTAATACAGAGCCACACAAAACCTGAACCTCAGACATTTTACGTTATCTTCTAATTCAAGGAACTTTGATTTTACTTTTATATTCAGCAAAATTAATTGTCCTCTCTGTAATTAATATGCTGCTCAAATGGATTCTTAATTACAGATAAATCACAAATCTACACACTCAACTGTTATGCTTTTCAAGTAATAAAAGAGATCATTTGTCTTCCTCAGATGAACAGAGACCAACCAGCACACCATTTCCCCCTTTATGAAGAATTCATTTGCCTTAGAAAGAAAGTCTTTAAAAAAACATTGCAAGGATTTCTTGAATAGGGGATCAAAGCTCCCACACTGCTGGAAACCATTTTTGCTAAATAAGATGTGGGTAAAGGAAAAAAAAGTAAAAGTTTTTTGGTAGTGGTTGGGATTACGACACCCTTGGGAGGGACAAGGACGTGGGGTCAAGAAGTTGTGACCAGGTTAGCAACACAGGGAACAGAAGGGGAGGACAAAGGAACAGAAAGTGGAAATGGACAGATGAATGAGGAAGCATGTTTCTTTGCCGAAAGAGAATGGATGCTACATCAATTCATACCGAGAGCTAAAGGATGAGGGCCTGTTAATGGATTGGGGGACACAGCAGGGATCAGAGGTCATGAGTGCACTCAGCTAGGCTAATTGACTGTTATGTGCATATTAGTGACGATAATGTAGCAGGACAGTGGGACGTGGGGAGCAGATATGCAAAAGTTCCGCTGACAAGCGCTGTCCTGTAATTCCTGTCTTACACCTGCTAAACAAATGCGCGCACGCACACACAAGACAGTGGCCTTAGCTGGCTTTCTTCAGGAGGGGAGCTCACGGCGACAGGTAGGCATCTCTGACCTGATTCTGCACGTGATGAAATAAACTTGCTCACCAGATTTGCTTTGCGATCTTACGGGTTTTTATTTCGGTCCTACGTGTTGGGCATGGCCCAACGACCTGACCGACGCATCTCACCTGGGCTGCTTCTACACCGTCGCAGAAGTCCCCTGAGCACCCCTGTGGGATGGGGGGGGGTGCTTCGGGGTCGGGAGTGTACCCTGCTATCAACCACCTGCCTGTACCTGCTGCGATCCCAGGGACTGTCTGCAAAAATAACAAATGAAAGGGGAAAACCACACAGCCTGGGCTCTCCCCCACGTCCCAGTCCAGCCCGCGGGCATCCTGCCAGCAGCTCCAGGCAGAACGAGGCTAGCGCTTACCCTCCTCTGCTATAATTTTATGCCAGCCCCGGTGCGTCGGAAGCGCCGTGTTCCCAGGCACGTACAAGCAGGTGCAGGGGGTTTAATATAAAGACCACGAGCCGGCCCAATAAATACCGCGTTCACCCCGCCCGAGCGTGACTGTGGCTGGGGGGGCTGTCGGTGCCCCCCTTAGCTGGCACAGGCAGCTGTCTCCTGTTTGCTGCGGTGCAGATGGAGTGAGAACACCCTGGCAGGAGGCACTTTGCTTTCTCTTTACTGGTTTGGATCAATTATAGGGAACAAAGCAAGTCATCCTTTGCCTTGTGGGGTTTCTGCAGCGTGCACCTGAGAGGGGTCCTTCTCTGGGAGGCTTTAGGTCACTTTGCTCAGCAAAGCAGGAGCAACACAGAAAAAAGAGTGAAATCAGCTCCAGCCGATCCGGATACGGGATCAGTTTTGGAGGTCAGGTGCAGTTTTGAGCTGACTTTTGTGGAATTGAGATCCAGCCTGGCGAGCACTGCTAATAAAACAGGATTTCCCAGGTTACATCAGGCTGCTGGAGCATTAATCACCGCGTCCGTGGCTGGGCTGAGCTGAACGGCCTGTGCTCCTGCACCACACGCACCCTGCAAAGGCCTCGCTGGTCATCTGGTGTCAGCGCTGACTTGGCAATTAGCGCCGAGTAATTGATAGAGCAGCATCAATCGTTTAGCAAAGCTAAACCCGACGCCATGACAAGAGCGCTTTTGATTTGCATTAACTTAAGCTGCTCCATTTTTGTATTTCACCGACTTCTCCCTTTCACCCCGGACACACGACGTGACCCATCGCAGCCCGAGTCCCGGCGCTGGCCCCTCCAACCGCTCCAGGGCAGATCGACTTCGGCGTAAGGCAGCTCGGCCCCCGGGGCCGCACGTGCTGGAAGATGGGAGCGTGCTGCCGGGGGCTGCTCCTGCCGGAGGGTCCCTCGCTCCTGGCGCACGGCTTTCTGCCCGCCTGGCACCCGGTGCTGCCGCCTCGGGAGCAGAGCTCCTTACTCCAACCACAAAGGGATTTCCCAGTCGACCGACGAAGAGAATATTTCCCCTCTCCTCACTCTTGAATCTGTTGACAGCATCTCTTGGTGAGTGATGGATATTGGAGATGATTTATAGTTCTTTGTTACACAAATGCCTCCACATTCTTCCCCGTCCTCTCACAGCAACCATTAGTCACTTTTCCCAGCGGAAAAGCAAGAGCCTCAGCCCAGGAACGGCCCGAAGGACGCGGCATCGAGTCTCTCTCCCCGCACTGGCTTCATTCGCTGTAAATACGCCATCGGCAACGGCTCGGCTCGGGGACGCAAACGAGGGAAGCGTCAGCATCGTGGTGCTCTGCACCCACCCAGGTCTCCATGCGGCTGCTTCCACCCGTCTGCCGGGAAGTCAAAAGGTTGGCAAAGAAAAAGGGCTATAAATCAGGCAGATCGGGGCTGCGGGGAGGATCGCGTTTATGCAATTTTTCATCTCAAAGTTTGTAATTAAAGTAGTGAATGTTACAGAAGGAACAGCCGTTGCCAGTATCTCTTAGGGCTCTTGGACTTCGGCAATGTAAAAACGTTTAGCCCTTGAGACTTTTATCACATAAAATAGTTTTTGTAATGCTGCTTGTTGCTTAATTGGATTTCTGTTTGTTTTACTTCAAGAACACCAGGAAAAATATCTGTATTGTTTGATCTGATACAGAGTACTAGGAGACTTACCTGTACTATTGGGTCTCACAGTTTATCATAATGAATAAATACATGAATTATATAAATTCTGATCTTAATCTATGCAAAGTTTCTTGATTGCCCTGAGCAGCTGAGCCAGTTGCTCGGTTGCTCCTGCCATTGCCTCTAGTGCTTCTTTCTTCAAGCACAGTTGTGATGCCGGATTGTATCAGTGGAAATCGAGGATTAAACAAATTAACTGGGAACATTCCTGACTTTAATTTAGGTGTCACTGGGACTGCTAACCGGTTTCATGTCAAACGCACGCTGAAATGCCCTGTCGACGTGGGTCTTAAAATCAGGAGGGTGGTGCAGGGTTGAGCCCCAAGTATTTTTTGACAAAATAGGTTTGAACCGAACCGAGAGAGAACATTCCTCTGCTTCCACGGGGAAAGGCAGGGCCACTTGTCGCAGATCACAAAGGGACTTCCCCGTCAATCCACGAAGAGAATATAAAACAAGGGATGATCCAGGCAAAGAAAAGTGCTAACAAGCCACCATTTTGCCTCCGCCGAAATATCTAGGACCTAAGTTTACATCTCCAAGAGGCAGAGTGGTTGCGCCCAGCGGAGCTGATAATCCCTACTTGCTGGCGCTGTGATGGATAGAAGAGAGGTCAGTCCTTCGAGACCAGCTAATGATACTGTAAATCACCAAAGCACAGACATGTGTGAACAAAAACTTCCCACAAAAGCTTTTGTCCCCTTATTCAGCTGAGCCCTTCCTTAAAAACAGCTGAAGCAGTCAGCGCAATTAACTTGCCATCAGGAATACACAAAAGGACAAAACGCTGCCATCGGCCTATAAAGATGTAGAACAGTTTTATGGCTCATATGCCGGATTCGAGAGTTCTGATGCGTTCAGACCTCACGCAGATGATTAAAAATTAAAAAATAAAAATAAAAATAAAGGAAACAGGGCATCAGCAAACACCACCCTGCTGTGGGTCCCTCCCGGCCGGCCCCTTCCAGACCCCCCGTTC